AACCCAGTGGAACAAATCCATCCCGTGTTCTTCCAGGACCAGGCCCAGCTCCATCCCCTGGACTCACCTCACTGAGGGCACTGTCCAGGCAGGTGGTGACATCCTGTGCCAGGGCAATGGGGCAGCACAGCCGAAGGTCATTGAAGGCAACGAGGAGGCCGTTGAGGAAGCAGGCGAGGGGTGGGAAGTCCAACAGCACCATGGGGGGCTGCAAAGTCCCAGGCTGTGCCGAGGGCACCGGCACTCCCGCGCTGCCCCCCAGCACGGCCGGGGCYGAGATCAGCGTGTAGGAATTCATCTCCTCCCGGAATTTCTCCACCGCCTCCTCCACCGCCTTCCTGAAGGCATTGGCAGCCACACGCTGGAAGAGGGGGGCCAGCTGCCCACGGAAATCCGCGCCCACCCTGCTGAAGGACAGCCCGAAATACATGCACTGGCCCAGCAGCGAGTCCAGCCGGCCGCCCACGCCGCGCTCCAGGTCGCGCTCCAGCGTCCGCAGGAACTCGGACACTTTCTGCAGCAGCCAGCCGTGGAARATGGCCCCCTCGGCCGGAGCCGCGCCCTCGGCCGGCACCAGCGGCTCCTCGTCGGAGAAGATGGCGCGGTACTGTGTGACGATGTCGAAGAGGTGCACCCGGCAGGCCTCGATGGTCTTGGTGACGTGCACGTAGGGGTCGTGSTCGGGGATGGAGGCGTGCGTGGAGCGCAGCCAGGCGTCCCGCGCCTGCAGGAACTTGACGCGCAGCTCGGCCTCGGTCAGCACGTCCATGCGGCGCAGGAAGCCGATGACGCGCAGGCAGGCGGGCAGAGCGATGTTGGTGCGGAGCTGCTGGATCAGCTGGGTCAGCATCAGCTGGGCTGACTGACGCACCTCCTCCACAATGCCCTGCAGAGAGGAAAGGAGAGCCTTCGGTCAGGGCCGGGCACGGGGCAGCGTGGGGCTCACCTGGATCGGGGGGTTGGGATGGCACAGGGCTCACCTGGATAATGGGGCTGAGACCAGGGCTTTGCCTCAGGAATGGGGCAGGGACAGAGCAGGGCTCACCTGGACCAGGGGTTAGGTTGGCACAGGGCTCACCAGGATCAGGGGCTGGGATGGCACAGGGCTCACCTGGACAATGGGGTTGGGATGGCACAGGGCTCACCAGGATCAGGGGTTGGGTTGGCACAGGGCTCACCAGGATCAGGGGTTGGGATGGCACAGGGCTCACCTGGATCAGGGGGTTGGGTTGGCACAGGGCTCACCTGGATCAGGGGGTTGGGATGGCACAGGGCTCACCTGGATAATGGGGCTGGTACAACCGGGCTTCGCCTTGGGAATGGGGCAGGGACAGAGCAGGGGTTACCTGGATCAGGGGCTGGGTTGGCACAGGGCTCACCTGGATAATGGGGCTGGGATGGCACAGGGCTCACCTGGATCAGGGGGTTGGGTCACACAGGGCTCACCTGGATCAGGGGTTGGGATGGCACAGGGCTCACCTGGATCAGGGGGTTGGGATGGCACAGGGCTCACCTGGATCAGGGGTTGGGATGGCACAGGGCTCACCTGGATCAGGGGTTGGGATGGCACAGGGCTCACCTGGATCAGGGGTTGGGTCACACAGGGCTCACCTGGATAACGGGGATGCTGCTGTGCTTCCTCTCCAGCCTGCGCACGTAGGCCGTCAGCTCCAGCGCCTCCTCGTAGTAGCCGTTGCGGACACAGGTGTCCATGAGCTGCGGGATCTCCAGGATCTCCAGGATCTCCGTGTGCCGGTTCAGGGTCAGGCTGTTCATGCGCCGGCTGGAGGCGATGGCCTCGGCATCGCGCATGAAGCTCCTGCGGGGCCGGGATGGGATCAGCAGGAGCGTTCTCCCTGCGGCGGGGGATCCCCGGTGCCGCTCCCGCCCCGACCCCGGCTGCGCTCAGTACCGGGACCCGTCACTCCCCAGCCCAGCCCGGTCCCCCCCGCACCACCAGACCCTGCCCCAGCCTCACTCCATCCCCGGCCCTTCCTGCCCCCGGTTCCACCCGCGCCTCGCCCGCCGCTCCCGGTGCCCGGTGCCCGTTCCGCACCGGCAGGCGTCCTGCAGCGCGGGCAGCCGCTCCAGCAGGCTGCCCAGGCGGCTCTCGATGCCGCCGAAGCCGCGGCCGGCGCGGCCGGTGCACTCGGCGGAGCGGATGAAGGCGCGGTAGTGCTCGAAGGCGAGGCGGCGCGTCTCGGCCCCGACCCGCTCCCGCTCCGCCGCCAAGCGCGCCGGTTCCCGGCCCAGCTCCGCCAGCCCCAGCGCCGCCAGCTCCGACACGTAAGCGGCGAGCTCGGGGCCGCCGGGCGCCGCCGGGCCGCGCAGCCAGGCCAGCAACCGCGCCTCCTCCGCCGCCGCCGCCATCGCGGGGCCGCCGCGTCACCTCCGCGCCCGCCGGTTCCGGGTGCGTCATTTCCGCTATCGCCGGTTCCGGTGCGTCATTTCCGCTATCGCCGGTTCCGGCGCGGCAGTTCCGGTGGCGGCGGCCCCGCGTGTGCGGTGCGGGCGATGCGGCCTCTCACGGAGGCGGAGACGCGGGCGGTGTTCGAGAAACTCAGCAAATAGTGAGGGCACCGGGACCGGGCATGGGGACGGGATGGGCACCGGGGATCGGGCGGGAGCGGGCATGGGCACCGGGGCCGGGCAGGGTTCACGGGCTCCATCCCCGTAGCATCGGCGAGAACATCCAGCTGCTGGTGGACCGGCCCGATGGCACCTATTGCTTCCGCCTGCACCGGGACCGCGTGTATTACCTGAGGTGAGGGACCGAGGAGCGGGCGGACCGGGGACCGGGCGGGTGTTCCGTTCCGTTCCGTTCCGTTCCGAGCACCGCCCTGCTCCCGCAGTGAGAAGCTGCTGAAGCTGGCGGCCAGCGTGCCCCGGGACAGCCTGGTGGCGCCGGGCACCTGTTTTGGCAAGTTCACCAAATCGCAGAAGTTCCGGCTCAGCGTCACGGCCCTGGATTTCCTCGCTCCCTACGCCAAGGTGGGTCCCGCTGCCCCTGCCCGGCCCCGGTGCCACCGGCCSCTCACAGCCCTGCTCCTGTCTCGCAGTACAAGGTGTGGGTGAAGCCGGGCTCCGAGCARTCCTTCCTGTACGGGAACCACGTGCTGAAGTCGGGGCTGGGCCGCATCACGGAGAGCACGGCGCAGTACCAGGGAGTGGTGGTGTACTCCATGGCCGACGTCCCGCTGGTGAGCACCCGGCCCCTGCCAGGGCTTTGGGGGGGATAGGAGGTGTGAGTGACCTCCTTCACCTGCCATTCCTTCCCCAGGGCTTCGGGGTGGCTGCCAAATCCACGCAGGAATGCCGCAARGTCGACCCCTTGGCCATCGTGGTGTTCCACCAAGCTGATGTCGGGGAGTACGTGCGCAATGAGGACACGCTGACCTGAGGGACCCCTGGGGACACCGAGGGACCCTCGTGCCATGGGAGTGCTCAGGGCAGAACGGACCTGACCCTGCACTGTGGGGAGCACACCCCGAGGGGGATGGAGACASCGGGAGCTGCCAGCACAGAGCCCCAGAGTGCTCAGGGGGCTTCTGCCGGCGGGGGAGGAGTGGCCCCAGCCCTGTTACATAAAACCTGTTCCTTTTTTCAGTGTCTGTTGTGTGGTGTGGAGCCCTAGGGGGAATCGGTCCTCACTCTTCCTGTGGGAGTGTGACACTCTGGGGTGTGTTTGGGGGGTCAAGGGGAACCTCAGAGTGAGGATGAGCTTCAGGAAGGGARGAAGGGAGGGAGAAGCCAGCAGCTTCCTCTGGAGCYMCACAGGCTGGATGGCAGCAGCAGGCAGCAGTCACTCTGCAGACTCTGGCACGGGTTCCTTTTTCCTTTATTGGGAGTCTGGTAGAAAAGGCCCATTGAGACACTCAAAATGGGTAGGGATGTGACAAACACATGCAGCACACTGAGCTCAAGTGACAGAGTGGCCTTCAGCTTCTCTCAGGGTGATAATGTAAGGCCTGGAGAGGAGGCAGGAGCAGGGGGAGCTCTCCAACCTCTTCCTGGAAGTGGAATCAAACATTTCCTCCCGTGCTGTGGTGGGACAGAATGGCAGCCAGCTCCCCTGGCCCTGCAGGGGGGTCCCTGCCCAGTTCTARCACTTCTGGCTGCCCGAGGTTTGTGCGTGGAAGAGGCGCTTGAGGAAGTAGAGCTGCAGCAGCCCCGAGAGGACGATGGCACAGCTCTGGGCCATGGACCACCAGTTGACATAGTYGTAGTTGGACTCCAGGAGGAAAGAGTCGGCCCCTTTGCGCATCCGGGCRAAGTTGTAGAAGCGCCACATGTGGAAGGTGTGGATCTGCAGCTTCTGGATGCTGAGCTGCAGGAGAGGCAGAGCCGTGCTCAGAGCTGGGTTCAGCTGCAGCTCAGCCCAGGCAATGTCCCTGCTCAGTGCCCTGAGCTGCAGGAGAGGCAGAGCCACGCTCAGAGCTGGGTTCAGCTAAAGCTCAGCCCAGGCACTCTCCCTGCTCAGTGCCCTGAGCTGCAGGAGAGGCAGAGCCGTGCTCAGGGCTGGGTTCAGCTGCAGCTCAGCCCA